TCCTACACCCTCCTCGCCACCGATTTTGGATCACGTCCCTTGTCCCTAGGTTTGTTAATACCCACTTCCTTTCCCCCACCTCTCCCTCTCCCATGTCCCCCCAGAACCACCAGTCCCATTGTTTTCTCCTCCAGATTATTTATCCCGCCTATCTTATCCAGATAGAGCTGCAGAGATAATAATATGCACAAAAACAAGACAGAACAAAACAAAGCAACAAAAGAAAAGAAAACAAAACAAAACAACAGCAGCAACAACATGAAACCAATGACAAAAAGAAAAAAAGAAAAGCCTACAAATAGTTTAAGGTCTGTTGGTTGACCTTTCAGGAGTGTTTTCTGGCCGAGTCTGATGGGGGGGCCACACCCTGACCCCAAAGTCTATTTTTGGTATTCCCTCAGGACTTCCTTGCTCTGCTCCCCTTCTGCTCTATTCACACCCTTAGTGTTTTGCCTCAGTGTGGTGGGGTCAGATTGGGTGCAATTCCCACACTGTGTCTTCAGTGTTGTCCCCATTAGGGCTATGGGTCATTGAGGGATGTTGTGTCTCACAGTGGAGCCGGCCATATGGTCCTCAACAGAGCTTCTGTTTCTACGTGCCTGACATTGGGAGTTCCTCAATTGGAATCTGTTTTGTGGGAACTTTCCTGGTTTCCTTCTTTAGGAACACTCAGTTGACCTTATTAAAACCTTTTCTTATAATTTCAATGCAGTGGTTCTCATAGGGAAGCAATAGTGCCTTCAGGGGTATTTGGAAACAATTTGGGGCAGATATTTTTGGTTCAGAGTGACCAGGGGAAGCTACTAATATGCCCTTACACGCCTGGGTTGCTAAATGTCCTACGCGGCCCACGGACAGTAGACACATCATAAATGGGGCTGCTGACAATGCTTAAGTGGCCCTGATGAGAAACATGGACCACTTTCATATCTTGGAGTCAATAGATAGCGTTTTTTTTTACCTTTGGCAGGGAGGGCTTCTCTCCCCCCCCCCCCTGTTTTCATTGTGAATTGAGTGGCGGTTAGCAGAGCCAATCATCAGTTCCGCATTCAACAGTTCATGCACCTTCTTCATCTCATTCACTGCAATCCCCCAATGTGACATCACTTATGCCACTTCCTGCCTCTACCGAGGAGGCCCTTTATACTCGGGCTTCTTCCACATTATGGTTTTCAAAATAGTCTAAACAGCTGTACTTAATTTTTTTAGTAGAAAATAGGAAACAGAAAAATAGGTACACACAAATTCATTTATAATGCTATCCTAAGATAACAATGGCAATGAACACTTTAGAGTCTATCCCTCCATGTTATAGATATACATGAATACACACACACACATATATTCAGTCTCTCCCATTGAGTCTGTCCTGACTCTCCGTGGGTTACGAGTTGAGTCCTAAGTGAGAAGTCAGAGCTTCAAACCCATCTGCTGCTATGTGGTAGAAAGATGAGGCTTTCTATTCCAGGAAAGAGTTACAGTTGAAAACCCACATGGGAAGTTCTACCCTGCTTTTTAGGGTCACTGTGAGTCATACACACACACACACACACACATGCCAAGGTGTCTTGTTTGTCTAAATGTGTATATGTATATTTTTCTTTCTCGTCTTATTGTGAATTGGGTGGAGGTTAACAGAGCAATTCACCTTGAACACCTTGAACATTCACCTTGAATGTTCACCTTGAACAATTCATGCACCTTTTGTTTCTTCTCATTTATACATTCAGACAAGCAAGGCACTTCTGCGTTGTGACCCTGATTTCACCACTTCACCACACACACGGCCTGTACCTGGGTGTGCAGGAGCTGGACGCGCTCACTGGCATCCAGCAGCTCCTGCTCGGCGATCTTCCTGCTCCGCTCTGTCTGCTCCAGGGAGGCCCGCAGCTCCTCCACCTCGGCCTGCAGCAGGCTGCCTCTGCGCTCCACAATGGCCAGCTGCTCCTTCAGGTCCTCCTGGCCCCGCAGGGCATCGTCCAGGTGCAGCTGGGTCTCCTGTTAAGTGGGAGGACAATAATATCCATATACACATGCACGTGCATGCACATGTCCACATTCACATGTCCATGTGACAGTCTGAAGGTGATATGAGCATACCGGGAGATGAGGAACTGGGAATTTCACTGGTGCCAGAACCCGAGTTGAATGATCATGGTGCTGCCTGCCACAAGCTTAGGGCGAGGGAGTGGATTATCAGGAGATCATGAACTTCTTGGCTGTTTCTGCCGGTAATGGGTTATTTTGTTCCCCAGGAGGATCACTGAAGCTTGTCATTTATGGAACAGTTTTCATGGGCTCCACCAACCAAATCGTACTGTTCATCTCCTTTGCTCTTTATAGTTACCCTGTGAGTTGGGTAGTTCCATTCTTATTTTATAGAAGCAGCAATTGAGGTGCTAAACATTGCAACTGCTGGTCTAAAGTCAGGCAACTACAAGCGGCAAATTTATAAAGGCCTCAACCTCAGGCCTGTTGATGCTGAAACCATATTTGAATATTTGGGCGTCTGGCCTTTTTTCTTCTTCTACAAATTGACTTGATGGCAGTGAGTGTGGTGTTTTGTTTTGGTTTTTTTACATAAAACTTCTTTAAAAATAGTATGCTCCTTGTACACGGAATTCTGTTATCTCCATACTATCAGCTGTAGAATTTGTTAAGAGAAAAGAATGGGTGGTTTAACACACAGTTATTAGTGTGGGGAACAGAAGGCAGGCACTTTTCCTACTTTATCTGGGAGGTTAATGTGAACCTAGGCGCCCTGCTGTTGTAGTGGGTTACCTGTTGGGCTGCTAATCGCAAGGTCAGCAGTTCAAATCCAGTCACTCTAAGGGAGAAAGATGAGGCTTTCTACTCCTGTAAAGAGTTACAGGCTAAGAAGCTCCCTGGAGTGGTTCTACGCTGTCTTATGGGGTTGGAATTGACTTGATGTAGTGAGTTGGAATTCTGCGTTTGAGTAGGACCCCTTTACCTTGAGGATGCCCTGCGTGTTCCGGTAGTTTCTCAGGCTCTCTGCAGCCAATCGGTTGGCGTGGTTCAGCTGGATCTCCATCTCGTTGAGATCTCCCTCCATCTTCTTCTTGACCCTGAGGGCGTCGTTCCTGCTCCTGATCTCGGCGTCCAGCGTGCTCTGCATGGACTCCACCACGCGGACGTGGTTCCTCTTGAGCTGGTCGATTTCCTCATCCTTTTCTGCAATTTTCCTATCGATCTCCGACTTGACTTGGTTCAGCTCCAGCTGGATGCGCAGGATCTTCCCTTCTTCGTGTTCAAGAGAAGCCTGACCACAACAGCGAGCAACAATTAGTAAGGAAAAATAACTTGGAGCCTTGGCATACATTTTCTTGTGAGGCAAATTTTAATTGATATCAATTTGCCTAATTTTACCAGATCCATGACCCAGCTGGTAAACCAGTCTTCTACTTATTCAGCTGCAGATTACGCAGGGGGCGCTATAATAGAGTTGCTTTGTGAAAGATAAACATGCTGGAAACATATTCATTTAGTAGTAATCAAAGCTCTGTGATCAAACTTATGTGTAGGAAGCATGAACTCTCACTCTGTTTTATAAATTAAAAAGTCCGTATGTGGTATATTTATTCCTGATCTAGAAGCTCTCAGTGTAAAAACATCTATATGAGTTTTGCTGATTATAAGATAAATGTTCCTTATAGAATGTTGGGGCAATATTTAAAAACAAATGCAAAAAAGATAGCCATTGCTCTTCTCCCGAGAGATAACCATTTTAATGAAATCCATTTTTTCTAGATTTTTCCATGTATAGATATTTTTATATAACCAAAGTTGTATTATATATGCACATTTATATCTTGCCTAAAAATTTCTGTGTATCATCAATATTACCGTGTGTTAATTATGTTTAATAACCATATAAAATTTCCATGCTATGACTATTCCATAATTGACTGATTTTTTTTAATTAGACATTTTACTGCTTTGTTTCCAGTTAAGATTATTTTCTTGGGACAGGTTCTTTGAAATAGAATTCATTGGTCAGAATATTTATATTTTCAGTACTTTGGTAAACTATTATTAACTTCTCCTTCATAAAGGTTACTGAGTTTAAATTCTCACTAGTGTGCTAATGATATACCAGTCTCACAGGACCATTGTCCTCTGAGTAATTTCGCTGGTGAATTTTTGGCTTTACTGACAGCATGATTATATATACCTCTGCTTCTTCTAAGGCAGCCTGAATGTCACATTTTTCTTGTTCCACTTGCTTCTTTATTTTCTCCAATTCATGAATCTGCTTCCCTCCCTCAGCAATCTGCTCAGTGAGGTCTGAAATCTCATCTGTTGGTGAGCAGACCAGGGACATGTGGTCAGACACAGGGCACCATGGAACGGTTCTGCTAGGTCTCCATGGGGTAGTGAAGCGCAAGAGGACTCACGCTGCAGGTTCTTGTTCTCCCGCTTCAGGGTCTCCAGGTGGTCCAGGGACTCCTCGTAGGCGTTCTTCACCTTGAACAGCTCGGTGCTGAGGGAGCGGGCCTCCTTCTGAGAGGCTTCCAGTTCCGCCTGCGTCTCCTCGTACTTCTGTCTCCATTCTGCCAGGATCTGAAACGCAAGAAATCATCAGCATGCCTAAGGAGAGAGAGAGACCAGGTAAACCGTGTGAGCTAAGATAGGCCTCTTGGTCACCTTGTCAAAGTTCCTTTGCTTCTTGTCCAGCGCCGCGCAGGCCGCGTTGGTTCTCTCCACGTCCAGCATGAGGTCCTCCACCTCGTTCTGGAGCCGCTGCTTCGTCTTCTCGAGGGAAGCGCATTTGGCGTTCACCGCCTCCACGTGCTCTTCGGCATCCTGGAGACGCTGGGCCAGCTTCTTCCTGAAGAGTTAGCCAGATAGTCAAGGAGATTGGCCAAGAACAGGAGCAATGCGATCCTGCCCCTTTCTCCATTCCTGACCCTATAATGGCAGGCACCAGGTTGTGTTCAAAAGTGTGGCAGCTAGAACACCCTTCGAAATTGATGAACTTGTTCCCAGTTGGTCAACAGTAGTGTTCTAGTGCTTGGCATGCTATTGAATTCTTAGAAGAAATGTTGCTACAATTCGGATTCTCGCCACATTAAATAATTCTGGATTTTCAGGAGTGCCGACGGAGTGTGGTTTTGGAGAATGATGAATTCAGACAATCTTATTGATTACTTTGTATCTCCTATCTCATTCCAAAGAGGATTTGAGGATCACGAGATCTGGCATCGTGGTTTACTGTTGGGCTTCTGACCACAAGGTCAGCAGTTCGAAACTACCAGCTGCTCTCTGGGAGTGAGATGAGGCTTTCTATTTCTATTTCTGTGACGAGTGAGTCTCCGAAACCTGCAGGGACAGTTTTACCCCGTCCTACAGTGTCACTATGCGTCAGAATAGACTCGAAGGCAGGGCGTTTGACTTTTGAGATAGTCCTCGGCTGGCTCAGCCTTTCCACTTGACTTGATGTGGCTTCCCCTAGAAAATCACCAATTTCTCCTAGTCTTAGGAATCTGTGTCATCTCTAGAGAAAGCAATTGATGGATAAGCCAAGGCAATTCAAGCAGGTTAATCCAGGGCAGGTTCCCTCCACCCCTTTTCTGGATTCTCGATTCCTTCCAAATTATGCGTCAAGTATATATTCTGAGGGCACACAAAAACCTTTAAGCCTGATGCCCCCAACCACGTTTTATTTTCATACAGAGACAAAAGGCTTGTTTTATTTGTACCAACCCTCGGCCTTAGGTACAATTTGAAGGCCTCTAATATCAATGATAAGAGCTGTGCTATCTACTGTACAGCTTAAGAAGGTGAACCCTGGAATCAGAATGCTCCGTTTCCATCCAAGCTATATGATTTATTAGCCAGGCAACATTAGGGTTGCCTCTTGAAGCCTCAGTTTCCTTATCTATAAAGCAATACCAACAGGAAATTGTTTTTGGAAACTAAATGAGCTAAGTGTTAGCATAGTATTTGACATGTATTATGCACTTTGTAAATATTAGCTTCTATTATTATTAAGGAGCCTTAGTGGTGCTGTGGGTTAAGCATTGGGCTGTTCAACTCAAGATTGGTGGTCCAGACCCATCAGTGACTCCTTAGGTGAAAGATGAATCTGTCTGCTCCTCTAAAGATTTACAGTTTCAGAAACCCTGTCAAAGTCACTAAGAGAATCAGCTTGGTTTTGATTATTGTTATTATAATTGCTATTCTGTTCATCATCCTCATCAATGTCGTTACAGCAGCTTCTGGGAGTTGCTAAGTCAGGAGGCTAAGACATCATATTTATTTATGTTTCCCCTTCTGAGTTCACAGCGCATACTTGGCCTCCTCCAGCTCCTCTGTGCGCTGGATGGCGTCCGTCTCGTATTTGGTCCTCCACTGGGCCACCTCACTGTTGGCCTTGGACAGGGCCCGCTGCAGCTCGGCCTTGGACTCCTGCTCCTCCTCATACTGTTCCCGCAGCAGGTCACCGTCATGGCGCGAGGACTGCAGGGCGTGGGCCAGGGCGTTCTTGGCCTGTGAAAGTACCAGTTCAGTGACTTAACTTCTTTTATGCAGTGATATTTCATTTGCACACCTCAGTGGACAACTTTCGATTTGATCAACCAAGAAGAAGCTTTGATAAGACTTCCAGATCCTTTGTTGTCCTTGGGATTGTGGTCAGCTAAAAAACACACTACACCTGCTGAGACCCACAAAAATCATGGGACCATTTGGAGGAGCTCATCCAAGATCTCTGTCTGAAGTGGTTGGCAGAGGCTGCCGGGACCTGATGCACCAGAGCCTGTGGCATGGGGATTCAAAGAAGCAGCATGGAGACCATGAGACACCTGCTCTTCAGCTGCCCAAATACTACGGGACTGTGAGAGTGACAGGTGGGCTGCCTTCCTGGCCGAGGGAGGCAAAGACCAAGGGCCCTGTGATGGATGGAAAGACCGAGGACAGGAGAGACGTAACTGCTGGCTGAGGAGAGATGTTGCTCTGGACCAGTGGCCACAGCCTTACTGTTTGCTAACGGCAGAGATTAAAAACAACAAAGCAAAAACAACCAAACTCACCTTTGTTTCTTCCTCTAGCTGACGTTTCAGCTCCTCAATCTGCTGAGAGGATGCTTGTTTGCTCCTTGAAAGCTGAGATACTAGCGCATCTTTCTCATCTAATTGTCGGGAATATTCGCCTGGGAGGAATGGAAGCCGAGGAATCTATTAATGGTGCACACACGGACACACAACCCTGAAGCCTATGTGCGTATGTGCATGTTTTTCTCTGTAGACGCACACGCTAATCATATACCTTGTGTGTTTCCAAATAATGTTCTAGGACTGATTAGAACTGGACATTCAAAAGCTCAGTTGCTTTCGGAGTGCGACAAGTAAAGTTATCCGCTCAGTTATTTTAACTGTATCTTTAAAAAATAGTTTTATTAGCATATACTTCATATATCATACACTTTAATCATTCAATCATATTGAGAAGATTTTTGAAATCCTTACTACAAGCAATCTCAGAACATTTTCTTCTTAGACTTACTGTTGTTAGCTCCCCATCCCCTTGTCCATCCTCCCCTGCCATGCCCATGGGCCATTATCAACTCATTTACTGTCTCTGTATAGATCCACCTGTCCTGAATTTCATATACAAAAAAAATCATGCAAAACATATACAGGAAGCAACAATCAAGCAAAATTCAATAAAACAATAAAGACTAGACAACACATAGATATGCCTGCTCCTCCTTGCTTTTGCCCCCCATCTTTTTGACCTGTTTAGGAAATGTTGATAGTTCGTCCCTCACCCTCTACAGTGGAAATGCTGGTATCTACCCAGCAGCCCTGGCCTCACTTTTCCCTAGTACACTTTTATCTAGCACAGGGCCCAGGGAAGAGGTCCTTACCTGCTTCTGCCTGCAAGCGTGCCCTCTGTGTGGACAGGTCATTGATGCACCGCTGCTGCTCTTCCTCTTTCCCCTTGAGTTCACTCACTTGATCTTCCAGTGTCCGGCACATCTTTTCCAGGTTTCCCTAGGAGGTGCAATAAGGATGGAACCCTGGGTGCCCTTCAAGACAAATTAAAACTTGACTCCTAACATATTTTTAGAGTGAATAAATGCATGTTATGTGTGAGTATAAAGTTATGCCATCTATTCCGTGGAACAGGCCAGAACTCAAGCAGGTTGGATGCACAGCGTCCCCAGATTGCTCAGGGTTGGCAACTGCTCACTTCCTTTCGTCATCAAGCTACCAGCCTTGGTGGCAGAGCGGCTGCAGGCTGAGCTGCTAACCACCAGGCCAGTAGTTTGAAATCCCCAGCTGCTCCCTGGGAGAAAGATGAGAGTTTTCTACTCCCATAAAGCATTGCAATCTTGAAAACCCACAGGAGCCGTTCTGCCCTGTCCTCTGGGTAGCCATGAGTCAGAATTGACTCGATGGCAATGCGTTTGGTTTCCGAGTGTGGGTTTGAAGTCATCCAAGTCATCATAACCTATTGAAAACAACAACAAAAAAAGATACCATCCCCAAACCAAGCCCACTGCCAGCCAGTCTGTTTTCACTCACAGTGACCCAATAGGAGCTGAACTGTCTTTTGGGGTTTCTGAGTCTTAAATTCTTTATAAGACAGATTCGTCTTTCTCCAATGGAGCTGCTAGTGATTTGAACAGCTGGCCTTGCAGTGAGTGGCCCAGCTCATAACCGATTGTCCCAAGAAAAAACTCATTTCCATCACGTCTCTCCTGACTCATTGCAACCCTATAGGATGGAGCATACCTGCCTCTATAGACTGCAACTCTTTAGGGGAGAAGAAAGCCCCATCTTTTCCCTTTGAGCGATTGGTAGTTTTGACCCGCTAACTTCCTGGCTCGCAGCCCAATGCATAACCACTACACCCCCAGTGCCTGAACTATGCCACCAGGAGTCCTGAAAAAATGTATAGAATGAAGTATCTTAGAATAGAAAATATTAGCGTAGTGGTACCAGTGACCACCAACAATGCTTAATGACAGTGATTGAGAGGTGTTGTCGATTACTCCTCCTCCTGACGTGGACACAGTGGGGTTACCTTGGCTTTGGAGATGGCCTCTGAGTTGCTGCTCAGGTCGTCCAGCTCCATCTTCAGCTCGCTCTTCTCCTTCTCCAGCTTCTGCTTGACCCGCTGCAGGTTGTCGATCTGCTCCCCGAGCTCGGCCACGCTGTCCGCGTGCTTCTTCCTCAGGGTGGCCGCGGTGGCCTCGTGCTGCAGGGTGGCCTCTTCCAGGTCCCTGCGCATTTTCTGGAACTCCGCCTCCCGCTTCTTGTTCATCTCAATCTGGGCGGACGTTGCCCCTCCGGCTTCTTCCAGCCGCTCGCTGATCTCCTCCAGCTCCCTGGCCAGGTCAGAGCGCTGCTTCTCGGCTTTGGCCCTGGAGGCCCGCTCTGCCTCGATTTCCTCCTCCAGCTCTTCCATGCGGGCCTGGGAGTGGCACAAGCACATTAATATGAACTCTCAATTTCCTTTTTTCTTTTGGTTTGTGGAAAAGATGGGAGGTGAGATGACTGACCTGCAATTCTTTGATCTTCTTTTGTAGTTGAACTTCTACCACTTGTTCATCTTCAATTTTGCTGATCAGATTGCTGATTTCAAATTCTTTCCTTTAGGCAGAAGAACAAGACATATCAATACCCGTGCAAATGGAAAGACGATGTCACCTAGAATCATTTTTAAATGCCTACTTTTTAAGCTTTTCATCCAGTTGCTGTTTGTCGTTTTC